GCGTATATATATTTCAACCTGTTTTTATTATTTCTTTAGTAAATTATGAAAAATTATTGTACCCTTATTTCAAAATGGCACCATTTAAAAACATAATGTTGATTTTAGAATGGCAACAATGTATTATTTTTACTGGTGACAATTACAATTATCACCATTTTAGTAACTAATCATGTCAATTATATTTTTTTTAAAATGCAAATGAATTAAATTTACTTATTAATTAGTCAATATTTAAACCTCTTTTAGCATGGATAATACTTAAGCTCTGCGTATACATACTTAGCTTAATTTTTGAAAACCTTAATCAGCTGAATTTCATCTATTTAGATAGAGCTATCTCCATAAAATTTGGGTTCATCAAAACATCAATTTAGGATCCGTTTGGGACCGCAACGCCATACCGTGAAGTTTTAGTTTTTTTTTTGCGTTCTTTCCTTCAGCAGCAGCGGACGCTTGCCGCTAAATAGGATGAACACAGGCCGCGCGGGATCGACCACGCGGCCCCGGCGTTCAAATCAAACAGTTTAGATTTAATCAAAATAACAAAGAAAATTTGTTTTCATAACTAGGGTCAAAGATCAATTTAAATTTTGACTGATTTATTAATTTATAAATTATCAAAATTGAATAATAATTTTAAACAAAATATACAACTCCTAACTCTTAACCCCAATCCCAAAGATAATTCAATCAAAATCATACATCCTCAGCCAAAATTACAAATCCATCAGATTTAAATCCCGTATTAACACTACATATGAATACGGATCCTCGCATATGTCATGTTCCTCCCAACCTCTGGCCCGTTTATCTCGTCCCACACCGACCGACCGATCGACCACGCCTTTGCTCGTTCTCCCATAACTCACCCAGAAACGTCTTGGCGGCATCCAGACTGGGGAAGTAAGCCGGCTCCAGAAACATCAGCGATAGTGAATCACCGGATTCCGGCGAAACCACCAGAGGTCGGCATGTCGTAGCTTCCAAGCTGCCCATCACCGTAGTCACCACTTGCCTATACCCAAAGTAGAACCTCTTCACCGCCGCCTCCACCGCCTGAAACGCCTGCAAGAGATGAATCCTCCCGGGATTCCCCTCGTCCCCTCGCCTCCGAACAGCCTCATCGTCGCTCCCAGCAGCCTTGGCCCACCGCTCGGATCAGCTTCAGCGCCGAGCACCCATGGCACCCTCCTTTTCAGTTCCTTCCCTGACGCGGCCGTGACATCGCGCAGCGCCGCCGATCGGAAACAGAATGCCTCCGATCCGTTGCTCGCCCGAAGCGCGAGCTGACCCCTGAGCCTGAGGAGATCGTCGGGATCCATTAGGAGATGAAGATCCGTAATATCGGCAAGAAGCTTCCAGATTCTTTCTAGGAGCCAGCAATCGCCGGCGGCTGCGGCCCAATCGGAGGAATCTATGCGATCCGCTAATCTCCTCGTGAGCTCCCTCGCTGACGCGAGCCAGGACTCAAGAATCTGGTGAATGGTGAAGAGATTCTCGTTCTCGTGGTTGTTGAGATTCTCGTATGGGCTTTTCTTCAGGGAATGTAGTTCGGAAGGTCGAACAACGAGATCGTACTCGAAGATGGGTTTTCCAGCAAGGTTCGGCTCCCCCAACCCTAGGGTGAAGGGACTCCCCTGCATCCGGCTCTCGATCTGGAACTGGATCTTACTAGCAATGTGCTTAGACTTTTCCCACGCAGCTAGGCGAGGGAGAAGGCTCTCCTCGCTCGAGCGGCTCACGACGGCTCCACCGCCCCC